TTTTTTGTCCTTTTTTTGAAATTATAATTCAGGGTGGATTTCATATCTATAAATGCTTATTGAGTATGTTTAACTACATTTGGAAGGAGTGTTGTCTTAGCAATGTCTTCTGAATCATGATCTTCCAGTGCAGTTTCTGCATTTTATGAGTTTTGATTTTTCTTTTCTGACTTCTTTTGCAATAACTCCATGGATCAGTCAATTCTTCTCCCATTTATGTTTGTACTGTTGGAGTGCTTTGTGGGATTTCGAGTTCATGGCAACCTCTTCTGTCAGTACAGCAAAGACCAGATAATTTAACAGACTTTGTGTTGGTCCGCAAAACCTTATGCATCCTCCAATTATTTTGGCACTCTTTTCTCTGCAGGGCCCTGATAGCTCCCTTTTCCACTTTCCCTTTTAACAACCACCTGATTTCCAAAGGATGCTTTCTTTCTTTTCTTTTTAATCTTTTTCTCCCAAAAGCTTTGCATTTTCAAGACTACCCTTCTCTGTGGTTGGTGCTGTGACCTCCCTGGTCATTTTGTTTGTTTGTTTGTTTGTTTGTTTAAGTATTTTAAGACTCAGGGTGGATTAGTCTTCCTGAAGTTGGTCTAGTTCACCTTTGAACACTGTTCCCTGCTCTGCCTTCTCTTTTCCCCACAGTTTGTCTCAGTCTGCCTTGGGTTAGGGGAGGTAAGAGCCTGCATATTGAGGCTAGCATTTTTACTTTTAATAATTTTGAAATTTGGGCTTTCTATGTATCTACACTGAGGACTGTTTCCATGTAGCTTCAATTTTATCCTCTTGTTCTGTGGTGTTTTTCAAGAAAGTTTTGGGAGGCTGAGAACCAAACAACAGGCACTGTCTCCAACTACCCACAAGTTTATAGTTTCATTTCACTTACACTGGGATTTATAGCTTATTTCTCAGTTCTAAGCACATTTTTCACATGTTAACATTTATGAAATCAGAGCACATCTCACATAGACAGTGCCTTACAACTAGATTTATATATTTCTGCCAGTCACTTGACTCCAGTGACCTTGAGACCACTTTAAATTTAAGTCTTGCTTGAGCTGGGCCCTGTGGCACGTGCCTCTATGGCCCTAGGTCTCTGTGAAACTGCAAATCCAAGCTATCCTGGGCAATTTAATGATTTAGCAAAACTGTCTCAAAATTTAAAATTTAAAAAGGCTGAGGATGTAGCTCAGTGTTCTCAGTTCAATCCCTAATATGAAAAAAAAAATTTAAGTCTTGTGGTTTCTTGAGCTACATTAGTGGTGTGAATCTGGATATCGAAGCAGATTTATTGATTCAGATTCTCAGCCCCTCCTTCCACCCCACGCTTCTG